GAGATCTGGAACCAAAAGGGGCCGATCTTTCAGAGGGTCCTCTATGCTGGGCATGACGGGTATGTTATGGAATAGATTATTGGCCGCTTTGGGTCTCGATCCCGAACCTAAGATCAAATCCTGGGCTGGTTACTGGGGCTGTGCTCCCTCCCAGCTTCTCCTGTTTGCAGACAGCCAGAGAAGCTGAAAGACCTTGGCAGCCGTGTAAACATCACTGTTATCAGCTTTCTTCTGAGCACAAATCCCAAACACAGCCTCTTCCTTGCTATTGTGAAGAAAGTTAACTCTGTCTCAGCTGAACCCAGGACAATGGGGCGGTTTTAAATCATTGGAAAATGTTCTAAGAGAGTGGCGAAGGAATGTGACGTAAGTGGCTGCTCCCTGAGTGATTTTAGCTTATCAATATGCATTCTTTTCCTTTATTCAGAAAATATGGTGAGAGGCTTAGATGAAGATGAGACGCATTTCCTTGATGAGGTTTCTCGGCAGCAAGAGCTACTAGAAAAGCAACGAAGAGAAGAAGAGCTGAAAGAACTAAACGAATACAGAATATCCTTTGCATTTAAATGGCTGGTTATGCAGAGGGGGGCAAGAGGCTGGGCTGTAGTGTTCTTCCATCATTGACATTCTTTCTATAAAGCTGCTTTACAGACAGACTTTTAAAGTTTAATGTCTCCATTGTAGCCTGGATCTCCCACTATGATGTTTGATATTCCCCTCCCTCAACCCCCACATCTTTGGTACTTTTCCTTCCTTCTCCCCCTCCCCATTGTTTTGGATTTTGGTTTTGTTCCCCCGCCTCTGTTATTGAGGGCATGAAATACCATGGCTAAGAAGAGAAAGAACATAAAGGCAAGCCAGCTGTTGCTTCTCATCCTTTACGTTTGTCTTCTTATTGAAAAGTAAATGTTCTTGTTTGGTTTTTTTAACTGCATATTAGGTGTTTTTAACATGCCTGTTTGAAATAATGTTTGAACTGCTTGCTCTGTTATTCTTCTTGAATTATTAGCTGCTTTCTCCCTTGCTGATAACTCCAGGATGAGAAATTAAATACATCTGTGCAGATGTGCTGACTATCTTCTGGGGAGTCAGTGCCCGTGGAGACTCATCTCCTTTGGGTAATACAGACTTTCAGGCAGTACAGACAGTTTGGCTTTGCTGTTAAATGCCAAATTTTCGTGAAGATGTGCTAGAAAATAATACAGGATGCTTTTTCTCTCTAATCAGTGCCAGTCAAGGGAGGTTGGAATGATTTGAGGATTTTTGTGCTAAGTTCAATGTTGGTTTTTTTGAGTTTTACTGAATCTGTGTGGAACCTGATGGTTTCCTTGCCTCCTAATGAAAACCATTGCTTTTAAATCACCAGCAAACGAAGCACAAGTTCTCAAGGGTGTTTTAATATAAATGAATGAGTTTGTGGACACAAGGAAGTGACCAAAACCGGTCAGCAAATAAAGCCGAGTAGTGCCAGTGCTACAGCGATCTGCGTTACCTTGTATTAGTTGATGATTTACCACTTAAGGTGTGTGTTCTGTGAAGACCATCTAAGTTATCTTGGTAATGTGTTTATGAAAAAGCAATACTGATGCTTTTTTTTAATTTAGAAATAGGCTGTAGCTGGTTGATGGATTTGGGATATTTTCTATTTGTTGGATCTAATAATGGAATGTTTTTGGGATATATTTAGTTGTGGTGATGGTTGCTTGCAGGTCTGGCTGATGCAGTGATGTGCAGTGTAAGATTGTGCTGTGGAAGTAGCTGACAGCTCTAGTTAGGTCACAGCCGTCTGAGGTGAACCATACCAGCCCGGAGGGAATCTGATGTTCTCTTGAATTAACCACATGACACACTGATCCCTGAATTTACTGAGCTGGGCCTGTTCAAGATGTGCAAGCCATCTAACCTCAGTCTTTGCAGCCTTAGTAATGTCACCTGGCTCTGTATCTGAGGTCTTGCTGTAAATGGAACTGTAGAACTTCTTGCTGACGGGGTGGAGGGAAGGAGACTTTTATAGTCACCTCATCTCACGAGAAACTGAGAAATTCTGTCCATTCCATTTCCTTTTTAATTTTTTTAATTTTTTTTTTATTTAACTATATACTCCAAGCAACCTCAGAGCAACTTGCAGAATGACTCATCTGTGTTTGAAAATTTTGGTGATGGTCTTTTAAATTGCAAAAGGTGTTTTTGTATCTGCAGGTTGTTACTAATGGTTTGTCACTACAGGGACAAAAAACAGCGGGTACTAGATAAACGTGCTGGATCTATAGGTACTGCTCAAGTGCTCTTCCAGACTACTAAGAGGAATGTCAGCCCAGTGGATTTAATTATGTGGTCTTTTTCCTGGTATAACATCCAATTTAAGCTACCCAGTGGCATTAATTTCATGGTAAAACCTACATCCAAGTACAGAGCTGCTTTTTGTTTTTTCTTCCTTTTTTATGTTGAACAATCATGCGATCATGTATCTTAAGGATAAACATGTCTTGGAATATTTTAATGCACTCTTGAACATAAGAAATTCTCACATGCATGGATGCATAGGAATTTCCTTCCTCCTACATGAACAACAAGGGTTTTTTTTGCTCCTTACCTTATCCAGACCCCACTGGGCTGACAGTGTTTAGAGATTTACAGATTTTCTTTTAAGCCAGTTCCACAAAGTGTTTGAGAACAACATCCTCTTGTCTTAAATCCTATGTAAATGTAGGAAAAGTCCCCCTCTAAGGAGCAGGACAGCTTTTTTTTTTTTAATGCAGTTGATATTTAAGATTGAGAGGTTTCTTTTGAAAGTAGTCTTCCTGAGAGGGAACACTGCTTGGCTAGGTGGAGTGTTACATTTGCTAATGTTAAGTGTTAAAAATGTGCTGTGTCTCTCGTTGCAGAGGAGTGTTAGGATCCTGGATGGAAGTGAAAAGCCAGTGATTTGGTGTCTTTTAAAAGAAAAGCCTTTGGGTTCCTCAGCCAGGCTTTTGTAGTGCAGTATTAGAACAGAACAAGGTAAGGAACCTAAATGTGGAATGTGTGGAACCCTGTGTTGCAACGTTGAACCGTGTTCGACACAACGAGCTTTCAGATTGTTTCTGAGCCACAGGATGGCACTCCTGTGCCATCCTAAAAAATAAATCAAATTGAACAGTCTGGTTTTGACTGAGAAGACTTCCAGTTGAAGTAGGGAGCAGTCTGGGGTACCGGTGTGTCCTCAGGAAAATCGCACAAGGAGTGGCCTCTGAGCACTCCTAATTGTAAAGGGGTTGGAGACTTTGAGTGTGTCACTTCAAAGGAAGATATAGGAGTTCTTGATGTGCAGATGTTCAGTGGGGAAAAAAACCTACAACTTCAAATAATATGGTCCATGAATATGAAATTCGCTATCCAGTATGTGCCTGCAGTAACCGGGGTGCCTGTGGAACGCTAGCTTGCAGTTATGTGACGTGATCAGTGGAATCATAGTCAGAGAAGAAACCAACAGAAAGCCAGATACAGGGCTATAAACAAATACCCTTTTAAATTAGGTTGATTTACCTTTCCTATGTGCCGTTTAAAAGTTTTGCAGAAGCTTTTGTGGCTCCACTGGCACCTCATGAACAAACAGCATCTTGGATGGACCTTGCTTCATCAGATACAGCTGGACCTGAACTGGTAGCGGGCTGGGACTCGATCCTGCGCAGATTGAGACCCGGTCAGTGTGTGTGCACAGTGGGTGTGCCTTAATAACACACCAAGCTTGCTCTTATCCCGTCTGAGAACCTGCTTAAGCTTCTCCACCTCATTAGAGGTTTCAGCTGCATCCCACCTTGCTAACACTGTTGTAAGCTCCTTAGTTCTTCTGTGCAGTTGCAGTGGTTTTGGGTGAATTGTGGACCACATGGACCCTTCATCGGATCTGTCTCCTTCCTCTTGGGGTTGTGGCCCTTACGAAGAGATGATCTGAAAAGTTAATGATAAATACCGAAACAGACAATCAAACTGTTTTGCTTTGATAGGCTGAAGTCTGCTGGGCTCTGGAAAAGGAGAGTTTGAGGAGTAGAAGTGGGCCCACATGTTCCTATTTCACTTTTTGGTAAGGATTAGGTGTTGAAGCAGCAAATTTGTATTATCAATGTGTTGATCCCCATAGAAGGGGGAAGTACTGGATTGCCTTTTTGTTTTGTTTTCGCGTCCAGTCTGACCTCTAGGAAAAAGCAGGATGATGGGTATGTTTGTGGGTGCTGGGTGTGTCATGTGTTCTCCCTTTCCGACTGCAGAAAAGCAGCTCCCAGTCGGCTGCCTGGATGCCTGTACAGGGAGAGCTGGTATTGAGACCAATCAGAGCTCCCAACCCAGAGGGTGAAGTCTGCTCTGTCTTGGCCGAAGGTGCCAGCTAAACGTCCTTATAAATAAGTTTATTTTGATAGAATATGTGAATGAACTTCTGTCACTGCTGTCAGCAGAGCTGGCTAAATATATCGGAGAGGAAGTGTCTGTTCTCTCCATTCCTTCCTGCTTGATCCTTAACCCTTAATTCACAGCACTCTCACCAAAGTGGGAGTCAGTATGGACCCAAAGAAGGAAACTGAGAAGAAACTGGCCATGAAGTCCGTGGAAAACAAGAACAAATTCTCTCAGGCAAAGCTGTTGGCAGGAGCTGTGAAACACAGAAGGTTAGTTTCACACCTCTATAAATTCATGAGGAACAGAACCCTGGTAGCAGTGTAAAGGGAGGCAGGCCAAAACTGCCTCCAGAGAGTGAGGTGTGAACCTTAGCCCTAAAGAGAAAAGAGGGGAGGTATAAGAAAAGACCAGCCTTGTTTCTATAGGCTCTCACAAACTGTGGGAAAAACATGAAGCAGTTCAAATAGATAAGCTTGTGTAAAGCAAGTGGGTAGGCTCTTCATTCGAGACTGCCAAGCTTGGGCAATCCTGCTTGGGGGATCTAGAGGGAATCTATTTTGCATCTCTATTTGAAGATACCAGTGTCACCTCACTCGTGTAATTTCGTTCAGGCTTGCATAATTTATCAGCCGATTTTATCTGTGTCTAAAATGGATTGTTTTAATTGCTGCTGGGGGCAGCATGGGGGAGATACAGCAGAGAAGAGCTTTGTGTACCGGTTTGATCCTGAGGGCATCCAGCAAAGGCAAACTTCCCTTGTTCCTCGCTGGTTTGCTCTGATACATCCACACCCTTTCCATCCCAGGAAGATGGCAGCTGGGTTTGTGATGTGTTTGCTGGTTTGATCCTAGCCTGGAAATGCAGCTGCTGGTGTGCTACAGGTTATGGAGAAACCAGGTGTGTGCGACCAGGCGTATTTCCCACAGATGAGTCGTCTAATACTTAAGATGATTACTGACATCTTGTAATTCAGTCAGTGTTCTTGAATCTGTCCCAGAGAATGGGAGATTGTTTTAGAAGCTTATCTTGTAGGGTGATGTTTAGCTCCCGGTACAGCAGTAATTGCATGTCTGGAAACTGAAGTAAGCACTTCCACCACCTGATGTGGGGGGCTGGGTAGTTGTTTGGGTTTTTGGAAGGCAGAAAAGAGAAACCCTGAACTGATAACAGGCAGCCAACAATATTTTTTTCTTGTAACTGCTACTGCTTAACCCAGGAGGGTGTAGAGAAGGAGCTGGCACGTGCTTAATGGTACATCTGAAGTCTGCAGATGGCATCTGTTTGAAGAGAGCATCGTAACTGACATGTCGGTGCCATCACGGGCTTTCTTTGTAGTCTTCTATTTTTGCCATCTTATCTTCTCTTGTAAACTGGCCAAAACCAAGTGTAGCGTGAGCTCAACATCTGCTCTCTGAGCTTTGTAGTTTCCTGTGAAGGATGTATTGCTGTTAAAGCCCTCCTGTGCAGAATAACCTTTCATCTGGCAGGGACAGAAGGAGTTAATGCATTAAAATGCTCCTACTTCCCCACTTCAGCTCATCACAGCTGAAACTGGGAAGCATCTGTTTATGTGGATGGCTTAGGATTGGGAACATGTAAGAGGGGAAAAAGAAACTGAGCAGTGACAAAGAAGAGCTACAGAACCTCTGTAGGGTTAGAAGTCCAAGTAGCACTCCTGTCCCCCAGCACCCCTGTGG